ATATATTATGATTCTAAATGTCTCCCATTGGTAAAGTATGGGCTTGGTTAGTTACATGAACTCTTGAACACCCTTACCTTGCACTTCATGTGTTGAATTCATATTTATTTGGTTCCATTATTAAAGGTAGTAATGTGGTTGCCATCATAAGAGGTACCACGTATAGGACATGTCAAATTGCTCGTGAGCTCCGTGGGAAGAACCATGATGTCAAGCCAGTTTCGATAGAGTAAAACGTTGTGGATGCCGGCAACCAAAGTATGGTGACATGAAACGATCCGAAATACTGGTCAATTTTATGGGCTTGGCCATGTATACAACATACAAGCTCTCGGAGACCATTCCCTTGCAAGCAAAAGTTTCAACTGTGCGCACGGCTACCCATGGTCCATATCACTGGACCCATAGTTCAAATCCTAGTATATATTCAAGATCAATGCTAATATACCATTGGAACTATTAGATTAATATCAACTTTCAAGTACCAATGTTTGATGGGAAGTCAAATCAATTTAAAAATCTTAGTAAATTAAGTCAATAAATTAGGTCTCAATACTATTGCTCTATATTCAAAGGTTCAAGCTTAATCACTGAGGCACATTACCATATGCCGCGAAACTTCGACCAATCAATCGAAGTCTCGAACAGGGCCAATAGCTAACACGGTTATGGATTACGCATATCAAGTACTCTACGATCAGCATTTCAAACACAAAGGCCGAATATAAGTCCAGTGTGAACCAAAATCGAATACCTTGTAAACAAGTATAAATACTGACATCCAATAGAAGAAGAAACAATTTCAAGAAACATAACGGTAAAGATTCGAGCCAATCACACATAGCAAAACGCAATCAATGTGTAGTAGTTGTCCACAGAATATAAATCATATACACAGAAACGATGACTAACCTGTAAAAATCCACAGATTTGATCCTACTAGTCGAAACCATAGTTGTGATAAATGTTCAGATCTTCAGAGAGAGAAAATTCAAAATCAGGAGTGATAGATCTGCTGAGAGAGAGAGTAGGAATCGGTTGGTTTGCTCTCTGTCTCTGAGACGTCTGCGTTACGCATGACAATTGTGAAGCTAATGAAATTTGGTTCGTCTCCTAAACAGAGATATCTATTCATTCAGCGCAATTTGTGTTGGTTGAATGCGGGATTATTTTATTTGTATTAAAAGCAGGGAAAATATCGGGTGTAATTCAGGATTGTGGATCCGGGGCGGGTACATTAGGACAAAATGTCCCGACTTAAAAAAAAAAAAAAAAAAAATATATTCAGCCCCCCTAAAGTTTGTCACTTAATCATTTAGATCCCTAAAATTTAAAATATTATACACCAACCCTTAAAATTTATACGCACGTAACACTTAGGCCCCTGATGTAAATATATCATTTAATAAATTATACTTAGACCCCTTAAAATTTATAAATATATAATACTTAGACCCCTTAAGTTTAAAATATTATATTTAAACAAAAAATACTTCAATCAAATACAGAATATCAAATATTTTAAATTTTATTGTATCATTTATTGAAATAAAATTAAAATTAAAATTTATTTTTTCTTTAAAAATCGTAATTAGTATATAATTATACTATCTATTAGAATAAAACTACAAAAATCAAACAAGGGATTTAAGTAAGTCATAATAGAACATGAATTTTACATATAAAATTCATGTTCTATTATTTCATTTATTGAAATAAAATCAAAAATAAAAAGTCTAATTTTTTTTTAAAAAATCATAGTTATTATATAATTATACTATCTATTAGAATAAAACTAAAAAATTAAATAAGGGGTTAAACTGTAATAAACATAATATCTTTTAGCTTTAATTGAGGTAATTTGGTATTTAATTTGGTTGTTTAAACAACCAAATTAAATTCTAATAGACAATATAATTGTAAACTAATTACGATTTTTTTTAAAAAAATTAAACTTTTTTTTTGATTTATTTCAATAAATGATACAATAGAACATGAATTTTGATTGTAAAATTTAAAATATTTGATATTTTATCTTTAATTGAAGTATTTTTGGTTTAAGTATAATATTTTATACTTAAGTGGTCTAAGTATTATATACTTATAAATTTTAAGAGGGTTTAAGTATAATTTATTAAATAATATATTTATATCAGGGGTTTAAGTGTTACGTGCAGACAAACTTCGGGAGTTTGTGTGTAATATTTTAAATATCAGGAAATCTGAGTAATTAATTGATGAACTTCAGAAAATCTAGACATAATACTTCAAAAAAAAAAAACATTAGGACAAAATGTAATTACTAATGCTATCATGACCTATCGAGTAGGGAGAGAATATTTGGTTAATTATATTTTGATATCTAAAGTATATATATTTTATTAATTTGGTTTCTAAAGTATTAATTTTATCAATTTGGTCCCCTTAAATTATTCAGTTCGTGTTTAAATGATCCCTACATAAATGAAATGTTAAATTGTTGATGGAATGATCACGTGTTGGACATGTAATATCGTCTCAAAAAATGACAAGTTGTTATTTTCGTCAAAAAACTTGACGAATTGTCTGACTAAGGACGATAGTGACACAAATTAAATTTTTACGGGCTAAATTGATAAAATTAATATAAAGATGACCAAAGTGATAAAACAGACATACTTTAAAGACTAACTAAATTAAAAATCGATTACAATTTTAAGAATTTAATTATTTAATAAAATTTATGTGCATCCTGAAGACTAAAAATTCTAAATTACCCTTAAAGGAAGTAAAATACACTTGCCGGAATGACCACATAGAACACCACAAACGTATTCTAACCAATGTTATTAGAATCAGACCAGATATCAAATCAGCAGAGGAACTAGATCAATAGTTCATTAGTTTAATGGGTTTACTGGTCAAACTGATCATATAATACAAAAATAATAAAATTTATAAAATAATAATTTAACTAAAAATTTAGTCACAATAAAAATTAAATATTTTATTGTGTGTGTCTTAACTGGACTGTTGAATGTGTTATGTGTGTGTGTTTTTGGTAAAAAAAAAAAGTAGTGTATATTAACTATTTAACTTAGATTCAATTATTCATATTAATCACGTGTTTATGCGTGCGTAGAGAGAGAGAGAGAAAGAAGATCCAACATATGAGAAAGAACAAGAAGACCCAATAACTTTTCTTTCATTTTTGTGGGTGCGTGTCACGTGTCTGTGTGGAGAGAGAGAAGAAGAAGAAGATTGACACAACTTACGAGGAGATCTAGATATGCGGTGTTCTTGATCTGTGGTGTTTGAGATGTATGTTCGCCGTTGTTTGATAAAAGAAAATAAAATTATATAGGCATTTTCATGTCCACTTGTAGTTTCTCTTTCAACTTGGATAACAATTCACACGCATCACATTAATGGTTTCCCTATTATTTTATCAATAATATTATTTGAATATAATTTATTAATTTAATTTGTTGATCTAATTATTTATAATTATTAAATTGATAGTAGACTCCAATATTTGTTGGGACTTACCACTAATCTAATGAGTGTGATGAATTAGGTCAATAAATTAAGTTTAAATAATATTATTTTTATTTTAGAATTAGAACACGAGAATCAAGTGCATATAATTTCAACAAAATTAGAAATTTTGAGTTATTTTTTTACGAGGTTCAATGATTAACAGGTTAACTGGTTCACACCAGTGAATTGAATGGGTTGATATAACTCAATAGGACTCGTGACATGATCTGACTATATTAAATTATTAGGGGTAATTTATATTTGAAGACACGAAACACTGTCAGCGAGAAGTGATAGATTTTTTGGGAGGGAGAGGAGTTCAATATAGATAGTCTTGAGAGAAGTTGGTGGCTGTTGGATGAGTCTATTTGAAACCGTCAAATAGATTTATTGAAATCGGTTCTATTATATATTATAAATATAGATACATGGGTTAAATATAGCTTGAATAAATTTAATATGAAATAATTCACACAATTTAATAACATGACACGGCATGCGAACTAATTATATATATCCAAGTTAATTTTGAACAATATTACTTAAATTTAAAATATTAATTTGATTTGTTGACTTAATTAATCGCAGTTGTTGATTTAACTATGAGTCTTAATGCTTATTAGAACTCATTATTTATTTAATTGTTATAATTGATTAAATTAACAAATCATTGTTATAATTGATTAAATTAAATTAACAAATCATATCAATATTTTAAGTATAAATATTATTTCTCAAGGTTAATCAAGGTTAGTTCACTTTCCGATTACTCGATGAAGGCTCGCACTCTCATGAACCAACGCAGTAACTGTTTGAGCTCTAAATGGCATTGGAAGAACCAATGATGGTGAGAGAAGTGGACGCGTCAGATGAACCAGGTAGGGCATGTACTATCATGAAACTCTTCTTCACCAGTTCACCCAGTTGGGTTCCTCTCCTTCTCTCAATACCTCACGATATTCACCACCCGCCTGCCCCCCAACTCACACACACCCAGAGGGAGATAGAGAGATCTGATTCTGATTTTTATATCCTTCACGTTTGTTTCATCTTCCTCATTTTTTCAGATATTCTGCATACCATTTTTCTATAGGTTGATTATAAAGCAAACACCATTTCAAACACTCTGATATGTGCATGTATGTGTTTATGGAAGATCAGTGAATGTTTTACAGCAAAACCTGTCTATCGAGTTGACTTGGGTGATGGACGGTAGAGAAAGGATCCGAAACATAATTCAGAAAATTGGAATTGTTGATCTTAGCATCACAAAAGGCTGTGAGATCTTGTAGACTGATCGTGCATTCAGATTAGCAAGAAATTACATCTCTCAAGATCATACAGGTAGACATGCAATTTGATTTTTTTTAATCTTTTTCAAAGAATGCATGAATGTTGTTTGACATCGTTTCAATTCTTTTCCTTCAAAAATTTTCATCAGGTTTTTCAAGGTGTTTCTGCAAACCTTTTAAGGTTTCGAAATGGACGACAATCACAGATTAAGATTCGAGCTTAACGACAACCCTGAGGTATATATAGATAGGGCTGAGGCTGACTTCATCCACAGGATCACTCTCACTCTTATACAAATTTCTGTACAACAATGCACAAATGTTTTCTAAAATGACTGTATAAATCTGAAAATAATTACTCCTTCCTTCTACTTTTTCGTTAGAAGATTCTTGAGATTTGGAGCTATTTGGGACTATGGTGATGACAAGCAAACCCTAAAATCAACATTCTACCCAAAACAAGAAGAAGAAACCCTAGAAACATTCATTTTACGGTGAATACACATGCAAGCAAATATCAAGATTGGAAAAAGATTTTCCCTGGATTATCTCTCTAGATCCCACTATTTGATATGTTTCTACATGTGGGAATCAACCTTGTCGAAATGAAGATAAAATTGTTCGTTGCTTATCTCTCTAAATCCCACTACTTGATATGTTTTTACATATGGGAATCAACCTCGTCGAAATGAAGATAAAATTGTCCGTTGCTTCTCTCTAGAGTCTAGATCCCACTATCCCATATGTAAATACATATCAAGTTGAAGTCTTAATTTCTGAGGGTTTGTAAATTTGCTCAAATCTCTTTAGATGTAATAGTCCATTGATTTAGGTTCGTTCAATTTTCAAGTGTCTTTCTCAGTTCTTACTAATTATTTTTGAAAAGAAGGGAGAGGATGCCTTTTGTTCTTGTTTTTTGAAGGTTACATTATTTGTTTTTGCATAATACTTGTATTGCTATACATTCTATTTTTTTTTTCTCAATTGCAGATGAAAACCACTTTAGCTAACAGTGAAGAGTTTATGGCTCCTAGTAACTCAACCGCCTTGGAGAATGCTTTTCCAAAGGAGATTCACAGAGCAAGTGATCTCCTAATGTCAGTCTCAGTGCATGCTGATACATATAAGACGAAAATTATCAATCTTTCTGTTGCAGCAATGGAGGAACTTGAGCAAATGGCTCTAGAGCAAGAGCCATTGTGGTTATTCAATGTGGATAGAAGGGCTGAAGTTTTGAATGCTGTTGAATACAAGAACAGATTTGAGCCTCTTGATGCTGCTCTAGAGGAAATAATTGGAATGATCAAAATGGGACGGCCTATAGAGCTTGCAAGCTTTAATTATACCAATGCTGAAGTACCAAATGATAATGGTAGTGAATCTTCATTACCAATGGAAAATGGACCAACACCACCTTTAGAAACTGAAGCTTCCCGGGCATCTGGAGTTGTGTTCATGAATCCAATTGACCTTGTTAATATGTTCATGGATGTGGTGAGTTTTATTATCTCACCAATTTATATCTGTCTTCATGTATTCTACCAATTATGCAATTAATTTATGATCGACAGTCCTCCTTGTCTTGAAATCAGGATCAGTGGTCGATTGTGTTCACCAATATCGTCTCAAAAGCAACAGTTCTTGGGGTAGTAACAAAAGGAGAGCTTGGTAACCCTAATGGAGCTGTGCAAGTGGTACTCAAGAAGCCATGTCATATTTATTACTTCTTTACTTGCTAAGATGAAGCTTATACATATTTCTATTGTTCATTTGTGTTCATTAGTTTAATTATGGAAAATGGCACTTTGCATTCAATAATATATCTATATGATAGGAGCATCTGTTTCTATTTGTGCTAATTGTTTTGCATGTTCCATAGTCAATTAAAATTTCATTTTGTGCCTACATACAGCTGGCATTAACATATCAAGGACTAGTTGGAAATAGAAAGGGGACACGTATTAAAAATCACGCTGTTAAGCTCATTTACACATGCAATCATAATATCACTCTCATAAAGATAATTTGGCACACGAGGCTCGTATCATTACAGTATTTGGTGGAGATGATCATGTATAGATATTATATTGTTTGTCCTTACCAATTATAAACCATTTTTGATATCATTGGTGAAATAATATTTATAGTAAATCAAAACATAGTTGAGTTGAGGGCGCAAATATCTTACCAAGCTTTAGGTCTATTTGTATAATTGTATGCTGAAAGAGCTAGAGGATCATAGACCAGAACACAAGTTTCCCCTTTAATTAACTTTCTTGTACTTTCATGTTCCCTTACAAACAAATTAAAATGAAGAAATGAACAAAAAAAATGGCCTTGCTGCCCACTTAGGTAAAATGAGTTCAATTGTGAACCTATATTCATTTTCATACCACAGCATTGATCTGTAGCAATTTGTCTTCATGGGTATTCTTGTTTGTTGATTTTTCAGATGAAGGCAGAATTTCATGTTCCATCACCACTTGTTCAAACTCGGGAGATCTATTTTGCTAGGTACTCTAGACGACTCTCTCTCAACAGTTGGATAGTGGTCGATGTATCTCTGGAAAGTATTTTTCCTAATCCAATGATTAAATGTCGAAGAAGACCATCAGGTTGTTTAATAAGAGGAACCCCAGATGGATTTTCAAAGGTTAGCACAGATGTCCAACTCAAAACAGCTTGTAATTTGATATAATTACTTGCTTGAAATTGTCTTGTCAAAAGGTTTCTATTTTCTGTTACTTAGGTTACATGGGTGGAGAATAATGAAGTAGATAATAGATCAGTTCAAACTATGTTCAGTCGACTAATTTCATCAGGTTCTGCATTTGGCGCAAATCGTTGGCTCACTACTTTAGAAAGACAATGTGATCGCCTGGCCATCCACTTGGATGATAGGGGTAAACTGTTTCCAATTTTCTTGCACTACAATCACGAGGAAATTAATCACAAATATGAGATTGGAGACTTGTCAAAATAAGATGTTGTAACTTGTAATAAGATTGTAGTTACTCTAAACATGTTTTTTTGGCAATTGTTCGTATTCTACATTGATAGTAACCCGAGGTGGGGCGACAAGTTTATTGAAGCTAGCAGAGAGAATGGTACGATGTTTCAATTGGAATGTTAGTGCATCCACAGAGAATCCATGGAGGCCATTAACAGTGCCTGGTGCAGAAGATATCTTGGTCAGGACTAGCTGTAACTTGGATGATCCAGGAACCCCTCGTGGTGTTGCGATAACCTTTGCAACTTCTGTATGGCTGCCTGTACCACCAGAGAATGTTTTCGACTTCCTTTGCTGTGGAAAGTGTCGCAGCCAGGTATATATTTCAGGTTTTGCAACAGTAACTTTAATGCTCCATTCTCCATTTGCGAATTTTCCTGTCATGAAGATGTAATGTCTTCAATATTAGGGACCGGTAGATATCAACATAGAATGTTGCTAGTTGACCAAAAAGCGGTCATTAAAATTTTGGGCGACCAAGCTAGCTTTCAATATACATATTTGAAACTTTTGGCTCTTGTTGTGTATGCACATTTGAAGTATTGGTCATGTTAGATTGGAAAATTAGCAGTTAGATTTGTATCTACAAACTGTTTTTACTTTATAGAAACTTTTGCGATGAGATATCTTTCAAATATTTTTTCTCTTGGTTCTACGTCACGTGTGGGGTGACTATGCTTTCAACGTAAATGATACCAAGGCATATACAATTCTTTAACAACCCTAGGGTATTGGGCATGACATATTAACACTATACAATTTGAAAGTAATTCATGTAGGAACAAGTCATACATATATTTGCTAGCTAATCACTCATCCATAAAAGTCTCTCTTGAAGGTTTTTATTAATTTCTTCTCTGGACAATATATGATCCACCATCACTAGGAGAGTGATAGCATTATACGGAGTTGAAGTACAATTTGGAGTTGGGAATTTAAGTGACGTGAATCGCAAACTTCCCCCCAGGGATTCGTGAGACACTAGTGATATCTATGATCCAGATATCCATAAATTTTTCTATATGTAGGATTTTATAACTTCACTTTCATTGAGATCTCGCGTTGAGTTGCACAGGAAAAAATTAATTACTCAAACAATGCTATAGAAGTATTTCCCTCCAATAGTTATCCAAATATAACTTATATATCTACATATCTGTCGGTCTTTAACCATTTTAATGTATCATATTGAACTATAGTGGGATATCCTTACCTCTGGGCGTGTCACAAGAGAGATTTTAAGCATTCCTACTGGCCGTGACCCAGCAAATACTATTTCACTGGTCATGGTAGAGGTAATCTCTCTCTCTCTGTCTCCCCCCAAGTTGCTTAGTTAATTCTTTAACCTAACAGTTGCATATTTGCAGCCTGTACCGAGCAAAATGACGATGCTATATGTCCAAGAAAGCTTCAGCGATTCAACAGGCTACTACATTGCATATGCACCTGTTGACATCTTGGCAACAAATTCAATCCTGGACAGTGGAGATCCAGACAGAGTAGAGTTATTGGCCTCCGGATTTTCTGTCCTACCCGACGGCCGGTCGATTGTGGGTGAGAATGGTACTAGTGGAAGTCTCTTGACTCTCTTATTTCAGACACTGGATGAACATATATCGACACCGGAGTATCTTCCCTCAGTATCAGTGGTGACAATATATAGAGTAATCACTGAAACTGTCTCAAGGATCAAGGGGTGCGTTGGTATCCAAGCATGAGTAGAAACAAAGGACCAAATATCTCCTATAGTAAACAAAGTCATATGAATCTCGTAGTTGCAGGAGTCTTGTACCAGGATTAATACTTTATTTTAGATTCCCTGGAATGTTGGTTTTGATAAGGTTTCGCCCCAATCTTATAATATTAACTGGCTTTTAGAGTTCATGCTTCGAACTTTTAGAATAATAGAGTTTAATCTTAGAATAAAAACCCCTCATTTAGTTGGTCTATTTCTCTCAATTTTGTTAATTTTTTTTTTCCAGAATTTGCCAATTTTCACTTAAATTGTTGTTTTTGTTAATATGACGTTTTCATGCTACTGGATGGGGGGCTATAACAATATGATGGGGATATAGCGGTTGGGATGGATTCAGATGGGTGGTGAGAGAATACGATACGAGAAAATATTGAAGATAATCGTGATACCACGTTACTATTGTAAGTAAATTCTACTTAATTTAGTAACTACCATGTTCATATATGAAAATAACTACCAAATAGAGTTCATTACCCAATTGTAGGCTTATTATTATTAGGTGAGATCATGTAACAATACTCATATAGCATCACCGTTACACCCAATATTAACTCATACGATAGAGGGGCCAAAAAAGAGGCAGTGAAAAATAAGACCCATGTATATATTTTTATTTTTGTCTAGAGTTCAAAAAAAAGGGACGAATTTGTAATTGAATGTGTGTCTAATCTAACAAATGTTTAATTTTCACTTTACGCAACACCAGCTCTCTTTTTGTCATAAGTCATAGAACTAGACTAAGGGGCATCCCCATAAGAATTAGTTTCTTAAATTTCACACATAGGAGATCGAAACACAGCCCCAAGACTATGGAGAAAGATGTAGATCGAGCGCCTTAAATAGACAACTACTATTACCCTTAACGATAATCTACCTGTGATTTTTAGTTTTAAAAAGAACTCTTAACATATTTTGCTTGTAAATTTCAATTAGGATTTTGTTTTACTATTCCATTCCTTATCAGAAACGGTTTTGCTATCAGGTAATTAGTAACCTGCGATACCCACCTCATCGGGGTTTGTTTCCTTATCTTTCTTCTTCCCTAAAGACCTTCATTGAAGTTGTGGATTCCTTCCCAAAACACAAGGCTGTTGATCAAAAACCCAATCTTATGGTACAAACCCAAGATGATAACTATGGAGGAATTGACAGAATTAGCGACTTGCCGGACGAAATTCTATGTTACCTACTATCTTTTCTTCCCACAAGATTTGCCGCCGCCACCACGGCCTTTTTGTCATCCAGATGGAAACCCCTTTTCCCTTCAATCCACCATCTTATACTTCGCTTGGAGGACTAGTTATTTTCACGTCCAGGCAACAAACATGCTGAATCGAACCGGTTGCACCAAATCAGTAATTTTATTAGCTTCATGTACAGTGTGTTGGATAACCTTTCATGTGATGTGAGATATATCCGTCAAATAGTTGTCCAACACTATGGCAATGACCATGTCAATGCCTGAATTGGAAATGTAGCGAGGTTTGAAATTGAAGAACTCGATATTTTAATCCTTGATAAGGATTTTATGGTATTTCCTCAACAAATATTCGGTTGCACAAAGCTAGCAAGATTGATCATAAATGCATGTTTCATTCTCTATGTCCCAACTTTCGTCTTTTCGTTGAATCTCAAGTTGCTCTATTTGAAACTTGTTAAATTTCACGGCAGAGACTCAATCCAAAGGCTTTTTCGTGGCTGCCCTATGGTTAGAGTGTCGCTATTATGGCAATGTGTGTTTGAAGATTTGCAAATTCTTGACATCTCCAGTCCTTCACACAAGGCATTGGGAATGTTTTTAAGTGTTCCGGTAAAAGTAAAAGTAATGTTACATGAATTTAAAAATTATACTTAAAAAATAAACTTGATAATTACAACCATTGATTTCACTATAGGTCTTAACATTTATTGAGATCTATTATCTATTCAATGGTTGTGTTTATCAAATTTACTTTTTAAATTTAATTTTGAAGTGTATGTAACATTACTCTAAAGTAAATATAAAGTTGTGTTCGATACTCGTCTTGGAAGACTCAAGTATAGTAATAATGTAACAAACGTGTATTTGGTGAAGAATTTAGGCTGTCTCAATCGATCTCGTCTAGACATTGGAGTCACTATGGAAAAATGGTAAGAATATGGATGGTTTTACTACCGAAACACAGCTGATTTTGTTGCTAATGTAGCCGATCTGTATTTATCTCAAAATTGCATGAGGAATAAGTTTATTTTCCCCTCCTAACCACATTTCATGACGAATGTCCATGGGCCTGAATAATGTTGGGCCAAACCTACACTGTATCGGGTAGGTAATTTGGGTCACATCCAGCCCATAGCCCGGGACCATTTTTGCAGTTGAGCCAGACCAATCCACGGGCTTTTTACTGAACTTATGAATTTGTAATTTATAACTTTTTATGAATTTGTAATTTATAACTTATTCTTTATATCGCCTTATGAACTAAATCTGAAATTATAACTACTAAAAAGGTTTTTGGGCTGGTTTTTCTGAATCACAGGACAGTCCTTCAGGCCAAACTGTGGGCTGGGGCAGTGCCACAGTCCACGACTATTCGGGTCTCGGGTTTAGCCAAGATGGAACAATTTCTGGTTAATCGGGTGACATGCTCATTTTTGGGTTGGATATCGGGTCACCCTGACCCATGGACATGCCACATTTTCATGTAGGTACTTGCATTTGTTTGTGGAAATTCTCATTCCTGTGGGTTGTTTTTTGTGAAACGGTTTTACAGTTTTTTTCATCTTTGCAAGTAGGCCATTAACTTCTCAGGTCTATTGCTGCCCACTTATAGTAGTTTGAGCAAATTAAAGCTTGGTGGCATTGAAGAAAATACATGTAAATTGTTGCCACGATTATTTGAAAGTTTGTCTAATCTCGAGGTTTTTGTCTTTGAGTCGATAAGTTGAGATGTTTGAACGATTTTCACTATGCAAACATTTTATTAAACTAGTTGATGCACACATGCGTTGCACGTGGACCAATTTGAATATCAAATATTGTAAACATTCATGTAATGTTTACCATATATGTATGTGTATACATCATGAGAGAGAGATTTGGATTAGAATTTTTTTTCGTAAACCCAGTGTGAAAAATAATTGAAACCAACTGTCTATGACTCCATAATAAAAACTACTTTTTTTAACCAACTTAACTTTATAGCTACTAAAGCTTAAGGTCTGCGAGAATTACTCGGGGTGCATTTCCCTAAATCATAATTGCCCACAAGAAAATCTGTTATATAGTTAAGATTGTATTTCATATGACTATCTGCTATAGCAATTGTACAAATCAGGCTCCTGATATGAATTGTTGAGCTTAGTACAATAAAGGAGAAATAAAAAAAAAAAAAAACCCTCTTAATAACATTTGGCAAAGCAGTAATAGAATAGCATGGAATGAACTAAAAGGAACAAAGTCCATTACACAGCTTAAAAATCCATCAAAAGTCGCCTCTAAGCTAATGTAACAAATATCTTTCAGTAATTAAGCCAACATGTACATCTTGTATTTGGATAATAAAATCTTCTTCATGACTCATAGCAAGATTGAGCAAGTAACAATGAAAAAAGTGACCATAAATCCAAAGGCTTAGCAAATATTTTAATGACCATCAGCACAAGTCATCACCATGAATAAAATTAAATATTATTATCTAGGCCCTTGAATAAGTGTTACAGAGCAGCATTAGGGACCTGATGCCCCCCAATTATGCCACATCTTAGCAATAAGAGAGACTTAATTGATCCTCGATCAGGAACCATATTCATGAGTCATTTTTTTTTTTTTTTGAACTGATATTCATGAGTCATGACTCCTACATAAGACATATATTATTTCATAAAATACCAAGAAATGTATCATCACAGTAATATGGAACTTAAAAATGAATACATGGGACCATGTTATGTGTGTGTGAGATAGAAGAAGGGCAGGAAAAGGTATAAGGATATACATCAAACGTATGATTGGTAATGCAACAAGAAGTGAGAGGCAAGAAGAGATTGATGTTCCCATGAGAAACAAAAGCTTAATATAACATGTAATTGGTGATCAAACTAATAAAATTCAAGAGCTTGGGTATATTCTTGAGAATTTGGGGGGGGGGGGGGGGGGGGCTGGGGGGGGGGGTCCAAAAACAAAAAATGTGAAAAGCACATAGTAACAATTGAAGACATGCTTAAGCATGGGGATAGATGAAACAAAGAATAGAAAATATAAACATGCTTGGCTCTATCATTGCAAAATCAAAAGATTGTTGTGTTGATGCTATCTATCCAAAGGGATATACCATTATATAAGAAGATAAGAAAACAAATGCAATATACATAGCTTCTCTAATGAATCATATTGTTTTTTTGTTGCTTAATTGATGAGTAGAAGGCTACCATGACATCAAAATAACTTTCAAAGAATAATTTCAATATTTATATATCTATCTATACTACTCCTAGAAATGGACTTTCTTATTATCTAGAAGGCGAACCAGGGACTTAAATTCAGTATTCCTTTAACAAAATATAGTGTCTAACATTCTAAGTTTGCTGCCACTTAAAACAACTTAAGATGTTAGCAACAATATGAAATATATGTTAGCTACACATTACACGGCTTGAGTTATTAGCAGCAAAATGACATATACGTAATGTGCATATCCAAACAGAAGTTTGTTGCACTTTTGTTGAAATATATATTACTGGCCCATGTGATTTTAATATTATCCAAAGCAGACTATAGAAATAACTATGGTCCTATTGTAATCCTTAGCAAAAAGAAGTCAACTTTTGTCCTTTTGATATCAAATTATGCCCACGTTGAAAAGTTTGAAGATAAATTGGCGTCTTGCACGTTGCGAAAGCCTATTTTTAACATTGTAACTGAACTGACCAGCCCTAAATAAAAAGTATATCAAGTATCATAGGGATTGAGAGTGTACATGT